GTGAGCACCTCTGCACACGCCCCAAATCTGCATATTACTTGCTCCTTGAATGCTGCTGCCACATGTCTTGAGCTCTTGCTGGGGATAGCCCTCACCTCCAGCCACTTGCTCACGTGCTCCACCATGAGCACATGTACCGTTTCCCCCCCCGGCTCAGCGGCAGTTCCCCCGCCAGGTCCAAGGACCATCTGAAGCCTAACCCGCGGATGGGCAGGGACTGCAGCTCGGCCTTGGCTTGGGTCAGGTTTGCTCGGCTCCTTTGGCAGGCCTCACATCCCTCCACCCACTTCTGCACCTGCCTGCGCATTCCCTCCCACCACCAGCCCGTCTTCAACAACTGCACTGTCCTCTCATGCCCGAAGTGCCCCAGCTTTGAGTGCACCTCCTTTATCACTGCTTCCCTGTCACCTGGGGCCGGCACCAGCTTCCACCCACCCTCGGTCTGTATCTGCAACTGCTGCTGGTACCACCTGTAGTGGTGCCCCCTTGCTCTCACCCTCTCGCTCATCTCCTCGTCTGCCCCTGTCTCTCCCTTCACCCATCTCACAGCCTGCTCATCCTCCCAGATATCAGCCGGCCCCTTGCTCCTCCTTGCCCCGCTCAGCTCCACCTGTCTGGCCAGCAGCGCAAGGGTCACTGTTGGCTCTAGCGGTGGGGGGTTACGGGAGAGGCCGTCCACATGCTGCAAGGTTTTTCCTGGCCTGTGCTTGATTTTGAAGTCATACTCCTGCAGCTTCATTGCCCATCGTGCATTCCTGCATGTTAACCCTGGTGTAGTCATCAGCCATGTCAGTGGCTGGTGGTCCGTCACCAGGGTGAACTCCCGCCCCTGCAAGTAGACCCTGAAGTGCCCCACAGCCCATACTGCCGCCAGTCCCTCCCCTGTGTACGAGCTGTACTGTGCCTCCGCCGAGTTGCAGCTCCTACTCGCGTAGGCCACCACCTTCTCATCCCCTTCCACCTCCTGGCAGAGTATCCCGCCCATCCCTTGGCTGCTCCAGTCGGTGTAGAGGGTGAAGGGTTGGTCCGCTGCTGGCAGCTGCAAGACGGTTGCTGTTTTCACCGCCGCCATCAGGTCCTGCAATGCCCCCTTCTGCGCTTCCCCCCACTCCCATGTCTTGTCCTCCCTTAACAGTCCGTTCAGCACCGCTGCCCGCCTGCTGAAGTTGGGCACAAATCGCCGGTAGTAACTCAGAAACCCCAACATCGCTCTCAGCCCTGTCTTGTCCTTTGGTTCTTGCAGCCTATCCAGCACCTCCACCTTTGCTTGCTGGATCCCGATCTGCCCCCCTGTCACCTCGTAGCCCAGATACTGAACGGTCTGCTCACCCCACCTACACTTCTTCGGGTGACACGTGAGTCCCGCTGCTTCTATTGCTGCCAGTGTCTTCTCCACATCCTGCAGATGCTGCTGTTCGGAGGTGCTGAAGATCACCACGTCATCTATGTAGCACGCTGCACATTCTACGTCCCTCAGCACTGCATCCATGACTCTCTGAAACACTGCTGATGCGTTCCTCAGCCCGAATGGCATGTAAAGCCACTCGTACGGCCCATCCGGCCCGTGAAATGCCGTCTTCCTAACGTCCTCCTCCCTGATTTTTATCTGATTGAACCCCTGCCGCAGGTCCAGCGTCGTGAAGAACACCCCCTCTGCTAACTTGTCAAATATCTCCTCCGCCATCGGCATTGGGTACCTGTCCGCCACGGTAATCTTGTTGAGCGCTCGGTAATCTCCGCACATCCTCCTGCTCAGGATCTCCCCTGTTAAGTCCTTCCTCGCTGCCACCACTGTTGGTGTGGCGTATTCTGATTCTGAGCGCCGGATCAGTCCGGCCGCTAGCAGCTCCTTAATCTTCTCCTTGCATATCTCTTCATCTCCGTGCGGCATCTTCCTACGCCGTTGGAACACCGGCTCTGTGCTGCTCAGTTTCAGCTCCATCTCCTTCATTTTGCACCTTCCTAGTTCTTGCAGTGTGAAGGCAAAGCACTTCCTATGCTTGGCCAGCAGTCCCAGCATAGCTTCCCTTCCCTCTTCACTCATCGCTTCCCCCACTGTCCACTTCCCTCCCTCCTCCTCCTGGCAGGTCCATGCTCCTTGTGGGGCTGCTGCTGCCGCCACCTTATCTGCCTCTTGCCCCCCACCCAAGACCATCTCTCGCCACATCCTCTGCACCAGCCACCTCATCATGTAGCCATCCATGGCATTCCCCATTGCCCTCCTCCTGTCTTCCTCGCTCACCCCTGGTGCTGCCGTCACGTTTTCTCCATATCCCATAGCCAGCTCCCTCTCTAATGCCGTCGGTTCCTCCCACCGTCCCCGCTTGTGGTCATATATCAGCCCGGGTCCGGGCTCCCCCTTTTCCCACCTGTAGCCTGCTGCCTCTGCAAAAGCGACCAAGGTGGGCAGAGCCCTCCTGTCCTGCCCCACCTGGTTGCACGGGTAGTGCCTGCTGTAACTTCTTTGACAAACTGGCGCGGGAGTCCGTCCCGGCTCCAGGATGTCCACCACCCTCCTCCCTGCAGCCCTCCTCATCCCCTCTGCTTCCTCCTGCAGATCCAGCACGGGAACCACGTTTTGCCAGTACATCCTGAGGCGGTGAGCGTACGACCCTGCCCTGGCTGCATCACAGCTCATCCCTTTTCCCACGTGCCGGCCAATCCTCTCCCTCACCAGCCGAATCGGCTCTCTACAATCCCCTTCTAGATCCAGATTCTCTAGCAAGTAAGCCACTCTGCCCTGCCTCTCCTGCAGCCACTCCAGGATATTGAACAGGTTGTCCATCAGCTTCGTCCTCGGGTCCTCCCCTCCCTTCCCTTTTCCTGCCCATGACACCCCTTGACACTCCCATCCCGACACCAGCAGGTCCACCTGCCCCCAGCTGGCCACCTGCTCCTCTGTGATCTGACTCACATCGTGCACCGTACTGCTCATGGCTTCCTGAATTACTTTCTCACTCAGGAGGTCCGGGAACTCAGCTCTCAGCTTCCGCGCGTGATGCTCAGCCATCCTTCTCACCTGTGGTGCCAGTTCCACATAGACCCACTGCTGCACTGCAATCCCACTCCTCACTGCTGCCGCCAGCCCTGCCCCGATTCCTCCGAACAACTCTACTAGCCGGATGGGCTGCTGCCAATCGCTATGCTGCCCCGGCTTGTCCATCAGTTTCATCCTGGGCCCCTCCTTGGTCTCTGCTACTCCTCTTTGCCCCCTTTGTGCCCCTCCTGCTCCGACCTGATAGGCCCGCTTCGGCTCCACCCTTACAAACTGCACTGGCAGCTGCCCCAATGGTCCCTCCTTCTTCCAGTATCTCGTTCGGAACTCCACCTTCTCCATCCAGGTACATATGCTCATGCCTACAGCGAACACCGATTCCGTCCCCATCAGCAGATCAAAGTCCTCGGACTTCGAGATTCCACACTTCATCCTGATCCTTGTTTCATGCTCCCCTCCTGGCAGCAGTGTCAACTCTATGGGGGTCCGTGTGCACGGCATCCACTTTGGTTCCCCTCCCTCTGCTGTCATGACTAACATCCCCTTCGCCACGTGCCTCTCAGGGGCCATCAGCCCCAACCGTTCGGCCATCCCCTTACCCAGCATCACGCTCTGTGCTCCTGTGTCAATGATCGCCGTCTTTACCTTCATCCCCCCCACTTCCACCGCTCCTGCTTCCACGAGCAGCACCGAGGTCTGGCACGCGAGTCTTTCCTGCGGGTAGCGGGCTGGGGTCTTCTCTCCTCCTGGCGCGTCCGGCCTGGACCCCTGCTCACGTGGCTTTCGGCTATGCTCCTGCCTGCCATCCTTCCCCCCGCTCCGCAGCCCCATCTGTTCCCTGCCTCTCCAGGCCATGAGGGCACACTGCACGTCCGGCTCCACCCCTTCTCCCTCCTCGTCCCTAGCGTACATCCCCGCCTCCGCTCCCCACCCTGACCCCATGGCCTGCAGTTGAGACTGCAGCCTGCTGATCTGCCGCTGCAGCTCCTCTGGTTTCCTCCTTGCCCCTCCCTCCCGCTGGTAACACTCCTTGGCCTCGTGCCCCTTCTTCCCGCAGATTTCACACTTCGCCGCATCCGGACATTCTCGTTTCCGGTGCCCAGGCTTCCCACATCCATCACAGTTTTTGCACTCTCTGCGGAGGTGCCCCATCTGTCCACACCGGTAGCAGGTGCGCGCGTCGGCTCTCTCTTCCCCGTGTGGGTCCACCCTCCCTCGCTCCTCTGGTATCATAGCCGCCGCCCATGTCGGTCTGCGGCTCCTCTCTGTCGGCCTCGGCAGGTAGGCCTCATACCTCCTTTGTGCCAGCTCCACCCTTTCCGCCATGTCAAACACCTCCTCTAGTGCCGCATCCGCCCCCAACTCGTACACCCTCATCCTCAGTCCCCCCCCCAGTGTTTCGTCCAGGCCTCCAAGAAACTTACTGATGAGGAGGCTGCTGTCCGAACATTTCACATCCTCCGCCAAGTTTACCAGTCGGTTGTAGTAGGTCAGTAGGGATTCTGTTCGTCCCCTCCTGAACTCCTGAAACTCCCTTATGCGCTCCGCCGTGTGTCCCGGGAATTGACGCTGAAGCCGCTCCAGAAATGCCTCGGTGGGATCCTCCCCGTACCTCCCTGCCCTCCACAGCAGCTCGTCCATCCTCATGCGGTACAGGGTCTCCGCCTCTCCCTCCAGTGTGTTGGGCAGGCTCAAGAAGAAGTCTACTGGGTCCATGCCTTGCCTGTCACAGCGGTATCTCACGTTCCCCACCTGCATCAAGTAATTCTTGAGGGCCGGCCCCACCCGTTGGTCCCCCGAGAACCTCGCCGGCACTTCCACCCGCGTCGCGCTGGCTGTACTTCCCCGCCCTTCTCCCCACGATTCCCTGGCCCCTCCCAGCCGCTCTTCCCCAGTCCTTCTCTCCTTGGCCCTCTCCATGCCTTCCCTGGCCTCTCGGGCCCGCTCAGCGCCATATGCTAAGCTCCCCCCTCCAGCTCTGCTCTCCCGCCGGTTCCAGCCCGAGTCACCGTGCCTTTCTCTCGGGCCCCTCTCCTCCCCCGCACGCCCTCGCGTTCGTGCCGGCGAGACTCGTGTCTCTCTCCACCTCGCCGTGCTCGTCTCTCGCTGCCGCTGCCTCTCTGGCGACGGTTCCCATGCTTCTCCCCTTCCTTGCTGCCGACGATCTCCGGGCGAGCGCCTGTCTCCGCCGCCTTCTCTTCCCCGCTGCTGCCGGACGAGAGGCGAGCGGAATCCGCCGCTCACCCTCCTCTCCCATTGCGCTTGCGGGCCAGACGTCCGTGCCTCCCCGCCGCGCCCCTCTTGCCGCTGGCCGCGCCTCTCTGATGAGCTGGGCCCCTCCTCGCGTCCTTCTTCCCGCCGCCAGTGGTGGCTGGCTGCGCGTGGCTCGCCCTCCCATCCTCCCTTGTGCATCAGCTGCCTGTCCGGCGATCGTGCGCCGTCTTCGCCCCAGCCCCCTTGTGCCTGGCACCAGTCGAGTGCGCGAGGGTTAACAGAAGGCCGCTCCCAGCGCCGCGATCCTTCCCCTGACGCGCGCAGTCCCTCTTCCTCCCTTTTGCCGCGTTCTCCTTGCGTCCCCACAGCGCCGGCATGCACGCCCCAGTCCCGCCGCTCCTGCTGACGCGACCTCTCCGCGTAATGCTCCTCCTAGCGGCTTGCGTCGCGGCCGCGTGATTCCGACCGTCCCGACCGCGACCCTTCCGCCCCTGCCTGGCTTGCGCCCCCGGCAACGTCCGCCTCTTCAGGCTCGGCGCTTCCGATCCCAGCCGCGGGTTCCTCGCCGTCATCTTCTCCGTTGGCGTCTTCGACCGCCCGTTCCAGGTTCGCTGCGTCCTCCTCTGCCTCTTCCTCGCCGGACGTCTCCCACGCTTCTTCCTTTTCTGCGGCCTCCCCTCCTTGGTCGGCGTCGAATCGCTCGACGCCCTGCCGACGGCCCCTCTCATCACGGCGGCGCCCGCGCTCTTCCGGCGAGCGGAACACTCCCACAGCGCGTCGGTCTCCGCTCCCGTATCCATCTCCGCGATCATGCCCTCTTCGCCACACGTCTCCGTCCGCGCTTGCGGCGTATCCTTCTCCACCCGCTGCCACGCTAGGCCTCCCTTCCGCCCGTCGGTCCCCACCGACGGGGACTCTATCTGCGCGAAATGCCGGCCTTCGCGGCGAGCGCTCCAGAGATCGCCCGCGCTCGCGTGACGGCTTATCTCGTGCTCGTTCCTCCTCCCGGCGACTAAACACCCTACCCCAACGTAGCTCATATTTATCCATGACTGCGTGTCGCGTCCTATTGTTCAGTATGAACGGGATCACTCCCTCACCCCACTGGTTCCTTCTTAGTGCTATGCCACCGCGTGTAGTAGCTAGGATAACAGCCCTGCACTAGTATGAAAGAATACTGAACAATAGGCATCGAGTGAGTGGGCGTGGGTGACCTTACCCAACCTCGGTTTGCACATTTCCAATGTGCGGCTCGAGGTTGGGATTTGTTCGAATCCCACATTTCGCCCTTCGGTGCTTTTCCCCCTTCATCCCAACCGCTCCCACATGTTTCCCCCTTTCTGCACCCCTTTGCAACCGACACTTCGCTACTGGCTACACCTCCTACACTACTTCTTATCTATCTACCTCAATGCATTCTTAGCTATTTGCTATACTACTTCACAGCACCGCACTCTACTGTTATTGCATATGCATCCCTTGCATATGCGGTGACAACGTGCACAGACCTGGGTGAACTGCGCAGCTATCTTGGCTTGCAGATCACCCGGGAAAGAGCACGCCGCACAATTACCCTGACTCAGTCACACATGGTGCAGCAGGTCCTTCAGCGCTTCGGCTTCACGTACTCCTCGCCTCAGGCCACTCCTCTGTCTACTCGCCACTCGCTCTCAGCTCTGCCTTCGGATGAGTCCGTAGAGTCGAGTGGCCCGTACCCAGAGCTTGTTGGCTGCCTCATGTACCTGATGACCTGCACACGACCTGACCTTGCATACCCTCTTAGCATTCTCGCACGCTATGTTGCTCCTGGGAGACACCGACCAGAGCACATGGCTGCAACGAAGAGGGTGTTGCGCTACCTGTGCAGTACGTCGGGCATGGGGCTAGTGCTTGGAGGGCGGAGTCCAGTGGTCCTCACTGGGCACGCGGACGCGTCTTGGGCTGACGACCAGGCTACGCAGCGGTCGTCACAGGGTTACACCTTCAGCCTTGGTTCCGGCTCTGTTTCGTGGCGGGCTACTCGCTCGTCTTCTGTTCTTGGCTCTAGTTGTGAGGCTGAGATCTACGCCGGGGCCATGGCTGCACAGGAGCTTCGCTGGCTCACCTACCTGCTGACCGACCTTGGAGAGCCGCCTCGTTCTCCTCCAGTCCTGTATGTAGACAACAAGGCCATGCTGGCCTTGTGTCGAGAGCAGCGACTGGAGCACAGAACAAAGCACATTGCTCTCCGCTACTTCCTTGCTCGTGAGCTACAGCAGCGTGGACAGTTGCGGCTTGCGTACGTGGCCTCTGAGGCCAACACTGCTGATGTCTTCACCAAGGCACTTCCGCCTTGTGATCATCAGCGCTTCTGCACTCAGCTGGGTCTTGTGCCCGTCTTGCCTCACTTGCTCTCCTCTTGACCTTGCTTGTACTCTCACATATATATATACCTGCTCTTGCTTGCCTAGCTTTATATATATGTGTGTTCTCTTGCATGTGAACTGGCCGTGTGGCCTTGACCCTGTGCTCGGACTGTGTGGTGACTGTGTGATCCACCCTGAGCTTGCTTTGCTTTGCTTTGCTTGACTGGTCTTGTGACCCCTTGTTCTCCCCGTGTGTCAGAACATTATAGCTTATGCTGTTGTGTAGGCTATAATGGGGTATCCCATAGGGGGTACAACCAATTAGGGTTTCATATTTGTACTCACTTCATTTCATAGTTCATCATTCTCGTTCTAATCTTCTCATGCCCAAGTTTGACGCGCGACTGGTGGACGGGACACCGCTGGCGATAAAAGACGAGGTCCGACAAATTCGGATGAAGTGTGGCGACGATTTCGGGTTTTCCATGCGGATGCTGGCGACAACACTGGACGGTTGCGATGTGCGGCTTGGAAGAGATTGGCTGCAGCGATTCAATCCGATAATCGACTGGACGACGGGGGCGATCACGGTGCTGTGCAACAAGGGGCGCGTAACACTTCCGAAATGGGTGGAGCCGGAGCCGATGACAACACGTGTCAATGCAATAACACTGAAGAGGGCGATCAAACGGGGAGCGCAAGGCTACGCCGTCCAGCTGTACGAGGTGGTGGCTTCCGAAAAAATCGCCGACATCGACACGCTCTGCGCTGCAGTACCCGACGACGTGGCGAGCATAATTCGGAGGTATCCCGAAATTTTCGCGGATGACCTGCCTGACGGGTTGCCACCTCAGCGTCCGGAGGACCACAGGATTGAGCTGGAGCCAGGCGCAAAACCAACTGTTCGGTCACAATGGCGGCTCAGCCAACCGGAGCTCGACGAATTGCGGAAACAGCTGGATTATCTTCTTTCTAAGGGTTTTATCCGGCCGAGCACGTCACCGTACGCCGCCCCGATACTGTTCACACCGAGGAAGGACGGAGGCCTGCGCATGTGCATCGACTACTTAGCGTTGAATCGGGTCACGATCAAGTCGCGTTACCCGATCCCACGAGCGGTCGACCTGCTGGACCAGCTTCGCGGGGCTCGCTTCTTCTCGAAAATCGATTTGCGAGGTGGCTACCACCAAATTCGTGTGTTCGCCGACGACTGCCCGAAGACTGCATTCCGCACCCGCTACGGCAGTTACGAGTACACTGTGATGCCGTTCGGGTTTAGGAACGCACCCTCGACTTTCCAGCTCACCATGAATGGGGTGTTTCGGGACATGCTGGACAAGAAGGTCATTGTTTACCTTGACGACATCCTGGTGTACAGCAAGACTCGGGAACAGCATTTACAGGACTTAGAAGAGGTGTTCCGACGCTTGCAGCAGAACCGGCTAATTACGAAGGGCTCTAAGTGTGAGTTCTTACGGTCGGAGCTGGAGTTCCTGGGGCACGTGGTCTCAGGGGAGGGCATTAAAATTGACCCTCGTAAAGTAAAAGCGATCTCGGAGTGGAAGCCGCCCGCAAACATCACCGAGTTGCAGAGTTTCCTCGGCTTCGTTAACTACGTCCGCCGTTTTGTACTCAATATGGCGGGGGTAACCAGGCCGTTAACCGATCTTCTGCATAAGGGCGTACATTTTGGTTGGGGGAAGAGAGAACAGCTGGCTTTCGACGAGCTGAAGAAAATTTCGAGTTCACCCCCGGTGCTTCGGCTGGCAGATCCATCTCGACCGTTCGAAATCGTGACGGATGCTAGCGATTTCGCCGTGGGCGCTGTGCTACTACAGGACTTCGGCAACGGGCTGCAACCCATCGCATACGAGTCGAGAAAAATGCAGCCGCCCGAGCGCAACTACCCGGTTCACGACAAAGAAATGCTCGCCATCGTGCATGCGTTTCGTACCTGGCGCTGTTACTGTCGAAATATATTTGTCATGTTTTATAACTGCTTGTAGTTGTAGTTAGTGTAGTTATTTAAACTGTTGTTGGTGGTACACCTTATTTGGTTTCTATGCTATATGTACCCTTGAACCTATAGTGAAACCATCACTTTTCTCCAATTGCTCTCTCAACTCACTCGACACCTCGCCTAGGGTAAAACCTACTCACACCTTAGTTCGGGCCTAGGCTACTAAGCCTAGGCCCTTCCTTTCAACTTACCTCATATTTTGACATGTTATCGGAGCTAATTATGACCTGGCCTGTGGGCCCGCCCTACGCTTCCGCTATGATTTTTCGGTCGCGCGCCTAGGGCGCGTGACGATTTTTACCTTGTCCCGCCCACGGGTGTGTGACTCCTACTCTGCCCGTCGCGCGCCCCGTGGCACGCGACGGTGCCCTTCAACTGCCCATCGTGCGCCCCGTGGCACACGATGGTGCCCTGCTCGTCGTGCGCCCCTAGGCACACGATCGGGCCCTCTTTCTTCTCCTACCCGTCGTGCGCCCCGTGGCACTGGCACGCGACGGGCCTTTCCGCCCCTGCTCTCCCTGAAGCCGCCCCTGGCCCATCTGCACCGACACCTTTTCTCCGCTCTGCGGCTTTCTTCCCGCCCACCCCCTCCTCCTTTGTCTCCCTGCAGCCGTGGGGAGGAGGGTATGGGGGTGGAGGGTGTTGGAGTGTTGGGTCACCTCTCTCCCTTCCCCTCCTCCTTCTTTCAGTCCCACCGCTGCAGCTGCCGCTGGGGGGGGAGGGTGTGAGGATGTGGGGGAGCAGGGGGAGTGGTACCGGGGTGGCGGGTGTGAGGCAACATGCAGCCGTCCCTCCACCACTCCTCACTTCCCCCCCTTCTCTGCTGCTCTTGCAGCAGTGTGGGGGAGGGGAAGGAGGAGGGTGAGGAGATGGAAGGGGTACCTGCTGTTGCTTGCTATTCTTTTGAATGGCGTAACTACATATCTACCTACAAGCATTATGGGGGCGTGTCGAAATATATTTGTCATGTTTTATAACTGCTTGTAGTTGTAGTTAGTGTAGTTATTTAAACTGTTGTTGGTGGTGCACCTTATTTGGTTTCTATGCTATATGTACCCTTGAACCTATAGTGAAACCATCACTTTTCTCCAATTGCTCTCTCAACTCACTCGACACCTCGCCTAGGGTAAAACCTACTCACACCTTAGTTCGGGCCTAGGCTACTAAGCCTAGGCCCTTCCTTTCAACTTACCTCATATTTTGACAGTTACCTCACGGGAGCTGACGTCACCATCCGAACTGACCACAAGTCATTACAGTACATGCGCAGCCAACCACAGCTCAACCCACGACAAATCCGGTGGCTCGACTACCTCGAGTCCAACTTCAGCTACACCATCACATATATAAAGGGCGCCAACAACATCGCCGACGCCCTGACCCGCCCATCGATGCAGAACGCAGCAGTACTAATCGCCCACTCTAACCCTTTATTGGCAGGATTCTTCCAGCACGGCTACAAGATTGACAGATTTTTCAGGACCAATCAGCACCACGGGGTCACTACACCGCATGGGAGTTTCTACCTAAAAGTCGGTACTAACCGAGTTTGGGTACCTTCCTACCGACCCTTACGAGAATTACTGGCGCAGGAAGTACACGACTCCAACCTCTCCAGCCATTTCGGCGTCGACAAAACACTGAAGCAACTGCAGTGGAATTATTACTGGCCCGACATGGCGTCGGACGTGCAGCACTACGTGCCTGCACGATCTGCCAGGCAATGAAATCATCACGACAACGCCCAGCTGGATTACTGCAGCCCCTCGAGCCACCCGAACGACCGTGGCAACAAGTGACAATGGATTTCGTCACAGGCCTACCAGCTGGCGCAAGTGGCAATGACTCCGTGCTCGTCGTCGTTGATCGCTTAACGAAAATGGCGCATTCCGCACCATGCCGTACGGCGATCACAGCCGAAGAAACAGCAAAACTCTTCATCTCGACCGTCGTGCGCCTACACGGGTTATCTTCGGCGATCATCAGCGATCGAGATCCGAAATTCACGTCGAAGTTCTGGCAGGAGACATGGGCACAGTACGGTACCCGCCTGCAGTTTTCGTCGTCCTACCACCCGCAAACTGACGGACAGACAGAGAGGACAAACCAGACGATGGAGCAGCTGATTCGCACGAACTGCCCCGACATCACCAAGTGGGAGGATTCCCTTCCCATGCTCGAGTTTGCGTACAATAACGCCCCATCTGGAACGACCAAGCAGTCACCGTTCTACCTGAATTACGGGATAGATCCGGTGGTACCCTCGTCAACGACTCCCGACAACCCGGTACCAAGGTCACAGCAGTTTGTTTCGGAACTACAAGCAGCGCGCGACAAAGCAGCGGAATTTATCAGGAAAGCGAATATGGCCGCCAGCCGCTACGTCGACCAACATCGACGGAATTTACCCTTTCGTGACGGGCAGATGGTCCTCCTGGACACGAAAAACCTCAAGCTGCCCCAACCTGCAAAATTGCGTCCCCGCTACGTGGGACCCTTCCACATCGTTCGGATGCTGACACCGGTCACTGCGAAACTTCTACTACCGGACGACTGGCAAATCCACGACGCTTTCCACGTTAGTTTACTTCGCCACTACGTGGCACCGCAGTCATCCGACGTCGCTCGACCCCACCAGGCACCAAGTGTCCGACCAGTGGCAGATCCTACGCTTCAACCTTGGAAGATATTGAATCATCGTATTCGTGCGACCCCCGCTGGACGCCACGTCGACTTCCTACTACGACGGGTGGATCGCACAAGTGACGATGACACGTGGGTCCCGGCCGACTCACTACAAGGGCACTCGGTACTTCGGCAGTATCTTTCTCGCCGACATGTGCCTGATATTGACCACCTTTCTTGAGGGGGGGGGTAGTGTAAGGAATTTCGCTAATTCCTTACTGAGGCACCTCTTACGCGTACAATTCCAACTTTCGGAATTCAGGCTCGGCCCGTCGACAGGCCTCTGGATAGGATTTGAGTTGGTCTTTCCCATAAGGCCAACATCCTAGTTTCACTCTTTCAATCAGGGTACAAATTCAGAACACACTTATAAATCAGGGTGGAACTTTAAACAAATCCTCAATAACCTTTTTACAATATAGCAAACACGTGTTATGGTGTCCAGTTGTGTAGGAGTGATGATTTGTAGTGAGCACGAGGGTTAAAACCCGCCGCAGGCGCTCGCCATTACACTTTTCGCGTGGAATTCTGACAGACTCGGTAAGAACTAGATCAGAACCGTCAGTGTAACTACATGGAGTTGTTCAACAGCACTCTGAAATATCAGTGTCGTAAATCTAAACACCTTTTCTTGTAAGGGTCAATGGAAAAGCCACTCTGGTAAAAAAGGGTGCATAAGAAAACCCACCCTTATAGTAAGTGTCATAAGGGTGAATCACCCTTATATCAAGAGGCCTGCCCGTCGACCTCGCCTCCCGAACGTCTCCCGCGTCACCTTCGGGTTTCCCAACCCCAAACCTACACCCAACCTTCGCGCGACTCCGCGACCTCGGCTTAGCTAGCTGTGCTATATTATGCCTAGGCCTCGTTGTTTGCTTAGTAGTTGTAATCACTTCCGCGATATTGCATTCTGCGCACTCTTCTTTCATACAACTCATAACGCAACATGTGTGTTGAGTAACTCAGTAACAAACATCTCGTAGCGTATGCGCATGCATGTACAACAATAACCAGCACAGTCCGGCCAGAATCCAAGCAAAAGCAGCATGGGATGACATGGTGACATGGTGAGGAGCACTTCATGTTGCATGAGCATGCATGCTAGCTCGGAGGCTGGAACATCTCATTGATCGTGCGTTGCCATGCCATGCTGCCTCCTCGCATCCCCACCACCACCCCCACAGCCTTCTACAGCCACACTGCTAGTGAATATCACCCCCATACGTCAAACTTCCCACCACCCACTAGCTCGGCGGCTGAAACATCTCACTGATCGTGCGCTGCCTCTTCTTCTCATCCCCACCCCCACACCCCGTTACAGTCACACCTCCATCAGTCACACCCCCGTGGGTAAGCTCCCCCCACTTCCCACTGCTCTGCTCCCCCTGCTGCTCATCGCCCCCTCCTTTCTTCCTGCCTGCAAGAGCAGCAGCAGGGGCAGCATGGCGAGGGTCCTTGTGCACCTGCAGCGACTGCTTCTGCTCTCCGTCCATCACCTGTCGGAGGAAGGGTGGGGGTTGGCGCCACATGAAGGAGCAGTGCCACATTCACACATTCACAGACACGTGAGTCGCAAGAAAAAGCAGAGGGGGCAAGGCAACATGGCGGCATGGCGAGGGTCCTTGTGCACCTGCAGCGACTGCTTCTGCTCTCCGTCCATCACCTGTTGATGCAAGAAGGGCAAACTCATACACATGACTCGCATGAGGATGGGGTATGGCAACAGCGCATGCATATATGCCCTTGCACTCATTGCCTTGTCTCAACAAGCCAACAAGCTCACACAACCACATGTTCCCCTACTTAGCAGCCCCGCACACCGGGCATCAGGAGGATTTGACCTTTGGAGCGCCTCAAAAGTTGTATCTTAGATTAGCAGGCCGACACACCGGGCATCAGGAGAATTTGATTCGGAGGCGCCTCAAAGGGTGCTGCAAGGTAGGCCAGACACACCGAACATCCCACCCTGCCCGCTCATCTGCCCCAGACGCCCCACTCACTTGCCCACCCACGCACCCACGCACCCACCCACCCACCCACCTGTCCCAGATTCTCCAGCTTGTGCTGCACAACGCTCCTGAGAAAGAGAGGACAGAAAGACAGACGGCAAGGAACGGAGTGAGGGGGGAGGGGATTCAAACGGGGAGAATGCGGATGAGTGAGTGAGAAAGAAATCGAGAAAGACCAAGCGGAGCGTCTGAAGCAGCACTGCGGCCCTTTCGGGCCGATTGAAAAGTCAACTCGCGAGTGAGAATGAATTTCAGACAGACAAAGCCGAGTGTGTCATACACCACTGCGGCCCTTCTGCTGCCTTGAGTGATTGATTGAGTGAAGGTTTTTGAAGTCTAGAGAAAAATAGGTTGAGATTGGCATTATCCAAGCGTTTCAAGGTGTTTAATGAGCACCAATTGATGCTCCCATCTAGGGAAGGGCACACAAGCCCAAACACCACATGTACACTTTTCTAGGCGCTTGAAAAAAAAAAAAAAAAAAAAAAAAAAACACCACAAGAACGCAAGCACCCACCATATGAGGTCATCAATGGTTTCAGGGGCGTGCAGGTAATACACATTCACCGAATTGGCCTGGACGGCAGAGGGGGCAGAGAAGAGAAAGGCAAGAGAAGGGCAGCATACACAGAGAAGGGCAGCATACACAGAGAAGGGCAGCATACTCAGAGAAGGGCAGCATACACAGAGAATCAGGGCTCTAAAACATGCAGGCGATACACATTCACCAAATTGGCCTGGACGGGGCAGAGAAGGGAAGGGGCGGTGAGGGTAGATGGGAGTTGAGGAATTAACACAACCAAAGGCGTGCTGGTAATACACGACCGCATTGGCCTGCACAGCAGAGGGGAAGGGCAGGTGAAGAGAAGAGGGCAAATACGCGAGAAGAGGGCAGATAATAAAGTGATTGGAGAGAAGCAGGTGTGATAAACATGCAGACAAGAAGAGTATTAGTAGATGGTCACAGAGTTGGTCTGGACGGTAGATTAGAAAACGCTGGGTGAAGGGAAGATAAGCAGGCAACGACCAGAGAAGCAGGGGTAGGGGAATAGGAAATGAGAGGAGATTAGTTTACAGAACCCAGGAGAGAAAGAGCACGGACCCAGGAGTAGAAATTTCTATCTGTAACACTACGTCCCACCCCAGGCAGCAGAGCCCACCTGCCCTATCCTGTGCGGCCTATCCCCCACCTGCAACATGTCCCCGGCGCTCCACGGCATCTCCCTCACTCTGCTTTACCCCTTACAAGTCCTACCAAACACCACCTCCCACCACCGCACTCAACCCCCCATCACCCACCTGCCCAATCTTGTGCGCCCTGTCTTCTGCCTGCACCAAACCCCCCCCCGGTTTCCACGTCATCATCTCCTCTTCTCCCCCACCACCGCACTCGACCCCCCAGCACCCACCCACCTGCCCTATCCTAGACCCCTGTCTTCAGCCTGCACCAAGTCCCCCGGTTTCCACGCCATCATCTCCTCTTCGCCAGACCTACCCCATCACGGTGAAATACCCCTCAGAGCTGCACCATACCATCCACCACCGCATTCCACACCCCATCACTGCATTCAACCCCCCAGCACCCACCTGGCCTATCCTGTGCGCCCTGTCCTCTGCTTGCACCAGGTCCCCCGGATTCCACGCCATCTCTGCAAACACCACCGTGCTGGCTGCTGTGAGCGTGAGACCCACCCCTGCTGCATGAATGCCCAGCTGTGAGGGAGGGAGGCAGGGAGGGGATCGGAGATGAGAGAGTGATGGAATAGAGAAGTAAATGGGTATGGTTGTGAGTCGACTCAAACACCACCGTGCTGAGTCTGCAGCAACAGTGTTTTCAACTAAGCCTGCAGCGGTGGGTGTTTTCAACTAAGCCTGCAAGCACAAGTCTGTCGGTTGCAAGCACAAGTCTGTCGGTTGCAAGCAATTCAGCCTCGGAAATGGCAGCAGTCAGCCTGGGGGTGCTGGCCTTCTCGCATCCCCAGCCTGGGGGTGCTGGCCTTCTCGCATCCCCAAGCCAAGCAAGGGCAGTGCAGCAGACGCATCCAAGATGTGAGGAAGGAGTTATCAGCTGATGCTCCTCTTACTCTCTTACTCTTACTTCTGCCTGCCCGCACGTCGAAACCATTACCACGCCTCAGAGAGTCCATCTCACCACGACACTCATCTCTCCACACTCCTCTCAGAGAAACAGTCTCATCACACGCACATGAGTGTCAGGATCAGTCTGGATGCGCACCACCAGGTCATGCCTCCCTTATCGCCTGAATCGTGGCATCCCCACAGCCATGTGAGTGTCCGCATTATTCCCCAGACACAGCCACACCATCGCCCCTCAGAGAAACAGTCTCACCACACGCACATCAGTGTCAGGATCAGTCTGGATGCGCACCACCAGTTCATGCCTCCCTTATCGCCTAAATCGTGGCGTCCCCACAGCCATGTGAGTGTCCGCATTATTCCCCAGACACAGCCACACCATCGCCCCTCAGAGAAACAGTCTCACCACACGCACATCAGTGTCAGGATCAGTCTGGATGCGCACCACCAGTTCATGCCTCCCTTATCGCCTAAATCGTGGCGTCCCCACAGCCATGTGAGTGTCCGCATTATTCCCCAGACACAGCCACACCATCGCCCCTCAGAGAAACAGTCTCACCACACGCACATCAGTGTCAGGATCAGTCTGGATGCGCACCACCAGTTCATGCCTCCCTTATCGCCTAAATCGTGGCGTCCCCACAGCCATGTGAGTGTCCGCATTATTCCCCAGACACAGCCACACCATCGCCCCTCAGAGAAACAGTCTCACCACACGCACATCAGTGTCAGGATCAGTCTGGATGCGCACCACCAGTTCATGCCTCCCTTATCGCCTAAATCGTGGCGTCCCCACAGCCATGTGAGTGTCCGCATTATTCCCCAGACACAGCCACACCATCGCCCCTCAGAGAAACAGTCTCACCACACGCACATCAGTGTCAGGATCAGTCTGGATGCGCACCACCAGTTCATGCCTCCCTTATCGCCTAAATCGTGGCGTCCCCACAGCCATGTGAGTGTCCGCATTATTCCCCAGACACAGCCACACCATCGCCCCTCAGAGAAACAATCGCATCGCAGCCATGCGTGTGTCAGGATCAGTCTGAAAGCACGCCACCAGCTGGTGACTCATGACCCACTTAATTGTGCAGCTGGGCATCCATGCGGCAGGCGTGGGCCCCACACTCACTCACCACGGCCACATGCTCCATCTGAAAAAGCACCAGATGCTGATGCCCCTTATTATTCCCTCACCACAGCCACACCCACGCCTCAGTGAGACAGACTCACCACACCCACCCGTCATCTCACTCACCACAGCCACACGAGTGCCAGCGTCTTCCTGAAAGCGCGACACCAGATGGTGCCTCTTTTCAGGCGCAGTGCCCCCGTCAATGCGAATGTACCCAACCTTCTCCTTCTGAGGGATGGGGGAGAAAGGGGGAACGGGAAAGGGGGAAAAAATGGGAAAGGGGAGTGAAAGAGGGCGAACTGGGTGCGAAGGAGTGAGGGGAGAAATGGAGAAAGACAGGATGACGAAGGAAAGTGAATGCATTGAACTGTCCAAAAAACTCTTTCAGGACACAGTCCAAAAGGTCTCCTGTTCGAACCCCAGTGTGACCCAGTTCCGTGCAATCTAAATGGCTAACTGTTGAGCAGTACCCTGCAGCTGTAGGTCAGCATTGCTCATGGCAGCACCCCCTATTAGCACAAAGTACATGCATGACCTGCTGCTAAAGCAAAACCAAGTACATGCATGGCCTGCTGCTAAAGCAAAACCAAGTACATGCATGACCTGCTGCTAAAGCAAAACCAAGTACATGCATGGCCTGCTGCTAAAGCAAAACCAAGTACATGCATGGCCTGCTGCTAAAGCAAAACCAAGTACATGCATGGCCTGCTGCTAAAGCAAAACCAAGTACATGCATGGCCTGCTGCTAAAGCAAAACCAAGTACATGCATGCATTGCACAGTGGCATGGAGTGGCATGGCATGGCATGGTTACCTGGAAGAAGTCGGAAAGAGCATCCATCATGGTCATGTGATGGGCGAACACCAGGAACTTGCACCCCCCCTGCACGAGTGCAAGCAGGAGGGACACACACACAGAGGCACAGGCAGGGAGCACAAACAGACATGCGAGCAGACATGCGAACAGACACATTGTTACGGGAATTCTTATCAAAACAGGAGCCCAACTGATCCCAGTCGCAAGCAAAACATGCTAGCAGACATGCGAACAGACATGCCAACACCAGCAAATCCAACACCATGCGATACATGATGACTAGAATCTGACATTCAACACTAGCAAATCAACCATCACCAGATGATGCAAGTACATTTTATCCCACCTCCAGCCCACATGCCTTGAGGGTCTAGGTACAAGGACCCAAGACCCAAGGCCCTGGGCGTATGGACTCACCTCAAGCATCGTGCCTACTCCCTCATAGCACGATGTGTGCATGCATGGTGATGCCAATTCATACACCCACATGCCCAGCGACCCACCTCCAGCATGGTGTGCAATGTGCATGGTGTGCATGGTGTGCGTGAATGGTGTGCGTGCATGGTGTGCATGCATGGTGTGCGTGCATGGTGTGCATGCATGGTGTGCGTGCATGGTGTGCATGCATGGTGTGCGTGCATGGTGTGCGTGCATGGTGTGCATGCATGGTGTGCGTGCATGGTGTGCATGCATGGTGTGCGTGCATGGTGTGCGTGCATGGTGTGCATGCATGGTGTGCGTGCATGGTGTGCATGCATGGTGTGCGTGCATGGTGTGCGTGCATGGTGTGCATGCATGGTGTGCAATGTGCATGGTGTGCAATGTGCATGGTGTGCAATGTGCATGGTGTGCAATGTGCATGGTGTGCGTGCATGGTGTGTGTGCATGGTGTGCGTGCATGGTGTGCATGCATGGTGTGCGTGCATGGTGTGCGTGCATGGTGTGCGTGAATGGTGTGCGTGCATGGTGTGCGTGCATGGTGTGCGTGCATGGTGTGCGTGAATGGTGTGCGTGCATGGTGTGCATGCATGGTGTGCATGCATGATGGTGCCAATTCATACACCCACATGCCCAGCGACTCACCTCCAGCATCGTCCCCAGGTACTCCCTCACAGCATCCACCTTTGCCTCAGCTGACTCCGTGTACAGCTGCTCGCATGGGGATGAGGGCAGGAAAGGGGAAATGTAACTGCCGTCTCTGAGGGTGGTGAGATGAGAGGGCAATGGGGCATGGTCTTTAGGTGCTCCCTCACAGCATCCACCTTCGCCTCTGCTGACTCTGTGTAGAGCTGCTCGCATGGGGGATGGAGGCAATCGAAGGGGTGGGTGGGAATGAGGGATGGAAAGCGGAAATGTGACTCTGAGGGTGGTGAGAGGAGGGTGATGGGGCGTGGCGTGGTCCCCAGGTACTCCCTCACAGCATCCACCTTCGCTTCTGCCGACTCCGTGTACAGCTGCTCATTGGGGGAACAATCAGTCACGAGTGGTGATGGGTCATCCCTCACAGCATTCACATCCACCTTCGCTTCTGCCGACTCCGTGTAGAGCTGCTCGCATGGGAACGGAGGTGATGAAGGAAGGGAAGGGGGAAGGTTCTGCTGCTTCTTGAGAGTGGAGACGGGGCGGCTTTGAGAATTCCCAAAAGCACATTGTCCTTTCCAACCAGGTACTCTCATTGTAATGAGAGTACATTTTGAGACGTCTCAAAACTCTTCTTTTTTTCACGTCCTTTCCCACCAGGTACTCTCATTGTAATCACCTTCCACCTTCCACCAACGCCTCGGGCGTTCTTTAGTAAAGCTGCGGGAACAGGGTGGCAGCGAGGGAGGGTGGCAACGAGGGAGGGTGGCAATGTTTGTGTAATTGAATGGACTTGCTCAGTCTTTTGTCTTCTCTCCTTTCTACCAGGGAGTCTATTCCAACTACCAAAGTCTTCTCAACTGGCTTCCTGCAATCATATCCGTCCTTAACAGTATAAATATATTTGCCATGCAAGCACCACCCACCCACCTTGGACACCAGCGCCCTGTCCTCCATCACTGCTGCACTCTCCCCCTCTGCAGCAGACGTTAGGCCAACCAGACAGGAAACATATCCCTCTTTCAAGCATTCCCCACTCACCCGGGACACCAGAGCCCTCTCCTCAATGACTGCTTCGCTCTCCTTTTCCGCAGTCGCTGCCGCCCTCTTCTTCTCCCGCACCTTTCTCAGCTGGTTTATGTGTGCGCGGGGGGGTCGTTGTGGGGGGAGAGGGTTTGGGGGAGGAGAGGAAGCAAGGGTAAGTGAAATCTTGTAACGTTTCAGAAGCTCCCCCCCCTCCCATCTGCACCCCCTACAGCCGCCATCTTCTTCTCCCGCACCTTTCTCAGCTGGTTTATGTGTGCGTGGGGGGGTCGTTGTGGGGGGAAGGGTAGGGGATTGACTGATGAGTCTCGAAAGTCCCCACTTGCACCCCCTGCAGCCGCCTTCTTCTCCCGCACCTTTCTCAGCTGGTTTATGTGTGCGTGGGGGGAGAGGTTTTGGGGTTTGGGGGAGGGGGAAGAGGACGGATAAGAGGGGTGTTGACTCTTCTCCACCTTGTTTCTCCCCCCTGCCCTCCCCCACCAACCCACCTGCTTGTGCATTGCGCGAATGGGCTTCATGGCCTTCTCTCCAGCATGCTTCCCTCTCTTTCCACCTCCCTTTGTACTCAATCCCTCCCTCCCACAACCCACCTGCATATGCAGTGCGCGAATGGGCTTCATGGCCTTCTCCTCCAGCATCAGCAGCACCTGTGGCAGGGGGAGGTGTGGGGGAGGGTGGGGAAGTGGGGGAAGGATGGGGGACGTATGGGGATTCTTAGGTGCCTTAGAGGGCCCTGAAGGGCTTCATGGCCTTCTCCTCAAGCATCAGCAGCGCCTGTGGCATGGCAAGGGAGGGCAGTGGAAAAGGGGTGGCGGGAGGATAGGCGAGGTATGGGGATTATTAGGCGGCTTCATGGCCTTCTTCTCCAGCATCAGCAGCACCTGTGGCCGGGGAGAGGTGGTGGGGGAGGGATGGGGGAGGGATGGGGGAGGGATGGGGAGGGATGGGGAGGGATGGGGGAGGGATGGGGAGGGATGGGGGATGTAATGAGCTTGAGAGTGCGCGGATGGGCTTCGTAGCCTTCTCCTCCAGCATCAGCAGCACCTGCACATGGGGGAGGTGGGGAAGTGGGGAGGGTTGGGGAAGTAATACGTGGTCGAGAGTGGTGACGCGGGTGTCATGTCATGGCCGTCCCTCCCCTCTAGCATCAGCACCACCTGCACAACGAGGAAAACAGCAGATGGGTAGCGGTGGGGCAGGGATGACGGATGGATGGCGGACGGATGAGGGGAGGGATGGGCGAGGGATGGGGGGAGGGATGAGAGGATGGGGGAAGAGTGAAGGCGACGGGGGCGGGAAGTGGGAGAGGGGTGGGTGAGGGGTGGGTGAGGGGTGGGTGAGGGGTGGGGGAGGGGTGGGGGAGGGGTGGGTGAGGGGTGGGTGAGGGGTGGCTGAGGGGTGGGTGAGGGGTGGGTGAGGAGTGGGTGAGGGGTGGGTGAGGGGTGGGTGAGGGGTGGGTGAGGGGTGGGTGAGGAGTGGGTGAGGAGTGGGTGAGGGGTGAGGACTATGAGGTGCCTACAGGCGAACGTACGTGCTTCATGGCTGTCACCTATCCCTCACCACTCGCAACCACTTAGTCTGTCACAAACACGGACACAGGCACAGGAACAAAACAGGCACTCGCCACTCGTGCAAGAAAACCAAGCTCACCCACCCACACACTCTGCCTGCTGTCTTATCTACTATGAAAGTTGCCTGAAAACTAACTTGTCCATAAACATACAAACAATCCCTGCCTGCTATCAGGCAAACAACAAACAATCCCAAGTAGTTTTCACTATGCAGCCCCTACCCACTTACAAAGAAGTTTCTACCAAGTACCCCCGCCCCCCCCCAGAAATTAACACCTCACTACCTGCTGTCGTCGCTTGGCTGGCAGTTGTGGCAGCACTTGCTTCTTGAGCCGCCGGATCATGACCGTACCGCTCAGCACCGCATGCAACTCCTCCCGATTGCTAGAGCCTGTGAATTCTCCGAATCTCCCCTGGTGTTGTTGACAAAGACAAATGCAGGGAAGACGACGTAGACACTTACTGTGCATGGAAGCACGCATAGAAGCGAGTATGAATGCAAAAAGAACCAAAGCATGCATGTAACAACACACCCAACACACCCACGAGCAAAATTACTTGGAAATCGAAGGCGACCTGCTGGTACCGCATTGTACCACTCACCCCCTTGATCGGCAGTAACTCTTGCCACTTAATGCAACCTGTTATTACCACATCCAACCACTCACCCCGCGGCAGTACCTCTTGCCATACTCCCCCAGCTTGTGATAGGCACGCGGCTGAAGCGCCTCCAGCTGAAAGGCATGGATTTATAGGAGGACAGGATGGGGAACAGCGGGGGATGCTTGGACCACTGAAGTGAATGGTGCAGCAAAGATTGAGGTACCTCAGAAGTCACCCCGCAGCAGTACCTATTGCCGTACTCCCCCAGCTTGCGATAAGCAGCGGCTGAAGCGAGGAAAGGAAGGGAGGGGATGGGGCATGGCGGGGAATGTCTTTTTGGCATTCCAGAAAGAAGGGCACGAATGGGGTGACAGGGCACAGCGGATGAATGGAATGCTTGGGCCGCAGGATGAATGGAATGCTTGGGCCGCAGGATGAATGGAATGCTTGGGCCGCAGGATGAATGGAATGCTTGGGCCGCAGGATGAATGGAATGCTTGGGCCGCAGGATGAATGGAATGCTTGGGCCGCAGGATGAATGGGGGGCGAGGAGGGGAGCGGAGATGAGGCAGCGAGGGTTGAGATGGGGCAAGCGAAGGAGAGATGCGAGAATGAGACAGCACACACATATGAGGGAACACAGCAGACACATGCATGTGCAGGGGCTGGGCACAGCAACATATCCAGCTCAGCAACACGTGCCTGCTTAAACAGGTCGATGCATGTGGGCAGACCCAACCCAAAGAGTCCATTTCACACGCTCGCATACATACCCGTCACAGCAACCCAGTCCCAGCACCATGTATGTAGCTCACAAGAACATAAGTGGTTCCGTGGCACGTGCCTGCTTGAAGAGGTCGATGGGGCGTGAGAGGGCCGGTGTGCCCGTGCATACCCAACGAGCACATGCTCACACGCATACCCGACACAGGAACACAGCAACAGATATAGCTCACAAGAACGCAGGCAGCTCGGTAACACGTGCCTGCTTGAAGAGGTCGATGGGGCGTGAGAGGGCCGGTGTGCCCGTGAGAAGAATGGCCCTGTTGGCTGCCTGATGTGGGCGGGGTCAAGAGGGTCAACGAGGGTCAATGGGGTAAAAGAGGGTCGATGGGGTGGGACAAGGCAGGAGTGCCGTGCGTAGAATGGCCTGCTTGGCTGGGTGATGGGGGCACGGTCAAGAGGGTCAACGGCAGTCAACGCGGACAATGATGGTCGATGGGGTCAACAACAGCTTCTCGGGTAAATTCAATAACTGCCAATCGTTAAAAGAACAGTTGGGGTCGGGTCGACAAAGTGACGTTTCGAGTCTAACAGGAAGCACAAGCTCCTGCTGTGTCATTCATGCCCTCAAAAGCTGCTAGAGCCTCACCTGCAATCGTGGAACGGCCAGGTTTGTGCGCTTGGCTTTGTAGTTCTTAAGGTAGTGCGACTCGTCTGCTATCACCACCTGGCAGGAAGGTGCATACATGGGGAAGGGAGGGGGGGTTGGTGTGGGGTGCATGTGATGCACTTGTTGCGCCACAACCAGGCCTGTGCGCTTGGCCTTGTAGTTCTCGAGGTAGTGGGACTCGTCTGCTATCACCACCTGGTGTATGTGCGTGGGAAGGGGGGAGGGTGAATGTGATGCACTTTCGGCACGGCCAGGCTGCTTATTGCACAGCCAGGCCTATGCGCTTGGCCTTGCAGTTCTTGAGGTAGTGCGACTCGTATGCTTTCACCACCTGGTGCGTGCATTCACGAGGAATGGATGGAGGAGGGATGGGATCCTGAATGTGATGCATGTGATGCACTTGTTGCGCCACAGCCAGACTCGTGCGCTTGGCCTTGTGGTTCACTAGTGCGACTCGTATGCTTTCACCACCTGGTGCGTGCATTCACGGGGAATGGATGGAGGAGGGATGGGATGCTGAATGTTATGTGATGGTATGCTGAATGTTATGTGATGGGATGCTGAATGTTATGTGATGGTATGCTGAATGTTATGTGATGGGATGCTGAATGTTATGTGATGCACTTGTTGGTTCGAGTGCAGTGAGGTGAGCTGGGTGAGTGCGGCAAGAGGGGTGTAGTGCCTCAGCTCACCTTGAACGGCTCATCTGGCTGCTCCAGGCGATCAAGCAGGTCATAGGAGACTATGTTGAAGGGTGATTGCAGTGAGAGGGGCTGGTTGCGAGAGCAGCGGACAAAGTTGAACCCGTTAATGCTGCGAGTGGCGCCCCCCTGAGGCATCACCACCTGACAGGAGGGTAGTACATGGGGTAAGGCATGGGACATGGGGATGCGGGGCATGGGGCAAGGGGTGTGGAACTGAGTGCCAATGCAGCGGACGAAGTTGAACCCGCTAATGCTGCGAGTGGCACCCCCCTGAGGCATCACCACCTGACAGGAGGGTAGTACATGGGGTAAGGCATGGGACATGGGGATGCGGGGCATGGGGCAAGGGGTGTGGAACTGAGTGCCAATGCAGCGGACGAAGTTGAACCCGCTAATGCTGCGAGTGGCACCCCCCTGAGGCATCACCACCTGACAGAAGGCAGCGTAAGGGGTATGGGCGTGGGACATAGGGCATGGGGCACGGTGAATGAGGGGCGTGGGGCTGCATTCAAGACCAGAGGACGAAGTTGAACCCGTTGATGCTGCGAGTGGCGCCGCCCTGAGGCATCACCACCTGACAGGGAGCAGAGGATATGGCATAGGAGGGCATGGCATGGTATGGCATGGATGAGAACGTGTGGCATGCACATGGCACGGCATGGCATGACATGGCATGGCATGGCAGGGCGTGGCATGGCATGGCAGGGCGTGGCATGGCATGGCACGGCAGGGCATGGCATGGCACGGCAGGGCATGGCACGGCAGGGCATGGCATGGCAGGGCATGGCATGACATGGTATGGCATGGCGTGGCATGGCGTGGCATAGCATGGCATAGCGTGGCATGGCATGGCATGGCATCGCATGACATGGCATGGGTGACATGGTGTGGCATGGCATGGCATGGCTTGCACTTTGCACATGACTCACCGTGATGTCTTCAGGAGGCAGGTCGAGCCACCGCATGATGCTCTGCCATGGTGCAGGGAAGTGGAGTGGGGAAAGGGGGGGGGGTGGGGGGGGTGGGGGTGGTGGGGTGGGTGGGGGTGGACGGGGGGTGTGGGGGTGGTGGGGGGGATGGGGGAGTGGGGGGGTGGGGGTGGTGGGGGTGGTGGGGGGGTGGGGGGCGGGGGTGGTGGGGGGGGTGAGGGTGGTGGGGGGGGTGGGGGGGTGGGGGTGGTGGGGGGGGTGGGGGGGTGGGGGTGGTGGGGGGGGTGGGGGGGTGGGGGTGGTGGGGGTGGTGGGGGGGGTGGGGGGGTGGGGGTGGTGGGGGGGGTGGGGGGGTGGGGGTGGTGGGGGTGGTGGGGGGGGTGGGGGGGTGGGGGTGGTGGGGGGGGTGGGGGGGTGGGGGGAGTGGTGAAGAAGAGAAAGGAGAGGTTAAGCCAGCGCATGATGCTCATGAAGAAGGGAAGTGGAGTGGGGAAAGGGAAGGGCGAGTGAAAAAAAGAAAAGGGACGGGCCCACACACCTCACCGTGGCCCAGTGCAGGCGCAGAGAGGAAGGGGCAACGACAAGCACGGGCCACTCACCATGACCTATGCCTATGCAGCATTGTCTTCACTAACCTTGCTCTGCACGTTCCCAGTCCACCGACAGGCTGCTCACCATGACCTATGCCCATGCAGCATTGTCGTGCAGACAATGCTGACAGAGCAAGGTGCAGCATTGCCTTCACTAACCTTGCTCTGCACGTTCCCAGTCCACCCACATGCCTCACCATGGCCCAGTGCAGGCGCAGATAGGAAGGGGCGATGACAAGCACAGGCCACTCGTCCCTGTAGCATGCAGCCAACCCTATGGCCTGCACCGTCTTGTCATGCACCAATCAACCTTACTCTGTTCTAGTGCAAATTCTAGATTAAATCCCAAGGGAATGTCTCACCATGGCCCAGTGCAGGCGCAGAGAGGAGGGGGCGATGACAAGCACGGGCCACTCGTCCCTGTAGCATGCAGCCAGCCCTATTGCCTGCACCGTCTTTCCCAGCCCCATCTCGTCTGCTATCAGCACCCGGCCACCACGCGACAGAGCAAACCTGGCCAAGATAGGGAGAGGGAGTAGGAGGAACAGGCGAGGAACGGAGAGGGAATGGTGTGAGGCAGTGGGACCAACAGCCCAGCCCTATTGCCTGCACCGTCTTTCCCAGCCCCATCTCGTCTGCTATCAACACCCGGCCACCACGCGACAGAGCAAACCTGGCCAAGATAGGGAGAGGGAGTAGGAGGAACAGGCGAGGAACGGAGAGGGAATGGTGTGAGGCAGTGGGACCAACAGCCCAGCCCTATTGCCTGCACCGTCTTTCCCAGCCCCATCTCGTCTGCTATCAACACCCGCCTGCCTCTTGATAAAGCAAACCTGGGCAACAGAGGGAGGGGGGGGAGAGAAGAGATGAGAGAATGGTGTGAGTCAGCACTGCCAGCCCTGTTGCCTGCACCGTCTTTCCCAGCCCCATCTCATCTGCTATCAACACTCTGCTGCCACGCAACAGAGCAAACCTGGGCAACAGAGGGAGGGGGAGGAAGAGGAGAGGAGAGACTGGTGTGAGTCAGCACTGGCAGCCGTGTTGCCTGCACCGTCTTCCCCAGCACTCTCTCCTCCGCTGTCCGCACTCGCCTGCCACGTGGGAGAGCAAACCTGGGCACGACAGGGGGAAGGAGAGAGGGGTGAATGTTCAACTCACACCGATCGAGTACACTAGTGATTACAAGCGAGCTTTGACCTGTAATCAGCACCCGGCCGCCACGTCAGAACTGGGAGAGGGAGGAGAAGAGAGGAGAGGGGATGGTGGTGTGAGGCAGCAGGACTGGGAGGCCAACACGATGGCCTGCACCGTCTTCCCCAGCACTCTCTCGCCCACTACCAGCACCCAGCCACCTCCTGAGAGGGCAAACCTCGGAGAGAGGTGAAACGAATTCAAAACAGATTAGACAGAGAGTAGACAGGTTGGAAGCAGCTTGCATTGTGATGCTGCACTAAAGCCTGAAGGGCTGAACGAGCGACGTCACACTCACTGCATGCCTTGCTCTTGGAAGGGCATCAGAAGCTTCCGAAATCCGTCCGGCAAGTCAAAGTAGCGACCTGTGTGGGAGAAGACCAGTGGGAGGAAGGAAGGATGAGGAGGACCCTAAGCGTGCTGGAGAGGAGTGGTGGTGGCCGGAGCGAGTAGAAGAGGGGATGGTAGTAACTCCAAAATCGTAAGGGACGAGCAATGGGAGGATGGCACAAACGACCTGGAGATGCGTGACTTACCTGAATCGTCTGGTAGCTTGGCTGTCTCCTCCAGTGCTCGCTTCACCACGGCCGGCAACGGCTCCACCTGTGGCGGCAGGGCGTTCGAGAGGACAAGAGAACACAAGCAAGAGCATTGGCCACAGGGTATGGGTTTCTCTCTCCACAGAGAGGACAAGAGGACGAAAAGGTAACACCCACTCACACTTCCACGTACATCAACCCTCAACTCACAGACTGCACTGCACGCATGGATGCACACACACACACACACACCCCTCACCTCCAAATTGCATCTTGGCACGAAGGAACTCATCCAAGGAGGAGAGGAACAGCCAGAGGCCTTGTTCACTTGCATCACCCACAGGCCTTGTTCACTTGCATCACCCACAGGCCTTGTTCACTTGCATCACCCACAGGCCTTGTTCACTTGCATCACCCACAGGCCTTGTTCACTTGCATCACCCCCTCACTTCACACATTTCACGGCTCCGTCCGTACTCACCTCATGGGTTGCACGGCTGCACACTCACTCACCTCCTGAGTCGCATGGCTCCACACTCACTCACCTCCACATCGCATGTTGGCACCGGTTGCACGGCTTCGAGAAATGCATCGAGGGAGGAGAGAGGGAACAGGACCACCCACACTCCCTTCCACTTGTGCCACTCACTGACCTCGCAGATCACAGCGTGGTACTCTCACTTACACGCCCACCTCTCCACGTCACTCACACCCCTCACCTACCGAATTGCACGGCTCAGTCCTCACTCACCTCCACATCACCGACTGCACGGCTTTTTGAGATGTCTCAAAACAACACTTTTATGGCTCAGTCCTCACTCACCTCCACATCACAGGTTGGCACCGACTGCACGGCTTCAAGAAATGCATCCAGGGAGGAGAGAGGGAACACCCACAGCCTGCGGCCGGAGCGGGAGGTGGGGAGAGGAGACGAATGGGGGTATAGGGCACTTTGAAACAGTGAGAGAACACGGTACACCCACAAAGCCAGTGAGAAAAGTGCAAGGTAGGGAGAGGAAACGAGCCATGTCTTAGACCTGCGTGTAGTAGTCAATTTTTGAGTCGACTAAAAAATCGACTTACGACATGTCTCAGACCAGACCAGGTCCTACATCCCTTATCACATCAGCTCGTCTCATATTTCTCTTTTACCACATCTTAACTCACCCTTCCCCACCCCCGCTGAGCATCTCACTCACGAACGACGCCTCGTAGCACGTCTCACTTGCCTTCACTCGTACCACTGCAGACAGACAAGACAACACAGCTCACCGCCTGTCCTTCTGCCAGATAGAACAAGGGTGTGTGTCACCGCTTGCTCTCCATGGGCGCCAAACGATCCTGTGCTAGACGGCCGTGGCACGTTGATGGTTCTCCACCCTCCTATTCAGGTGCGCCTCTCACCGGCACGGCAGACACAACAAAGGCTCACCGCTTGTCCTGCTGCCAGATGGAGCAAGGGCGTGTGTCACTGCTTGCTCTTCATGGGCGCCAAAAGATCCTGTGCTAGACGGCCGTGGCACGTTGATGGTTCTCCACCCTCCTATTCAGGTGCGCCTCTCACCTGCACGGCAGACGCGACAATTGCTCACCGCTTGTCCTGCTGCCAGATGGAGCGAGGGAAGCTCCGCTCCTCATGGGCGCAACGAGATCCTGTGACGTTGCGCGTCTTCCCCCTTTTGAGTCGACTCAAAAGTCAAGGGGCGCTCCTCATGGGCGCAACGAGATCCTGTGACGTTGCACGTCTTCCCCCTTTTGAGTCGACTCAAAAGTCAAGGGGCGCTCCTCATGGGCGCAACGAGATCCTGTGACGTTGCACGTCTTCCCCCTTTTGAGTCGACTCAAAAGTCAAGGGGCGCTCCTCATGGGCGCAACGAGATCCTGTGACGTTGCACGTCTTCCCCCTTTTGAGTCGACTCAAAAGTCAAGGGGCGCTCCTCATGGGCGCAACGAGATCCTGTGACGTTGCACGTCTTCCCCCTTTTGAGTCGACTCAAAAGTCAAGGGGCGCTCCTCATGGGCGCAACGAGATCCTGTGACGTTGCACGTCTTCCCCCTTTTGAGTCGACTCAAAAGTCAAGGGGCGCTCCTCATGGGCGCAACGAGATCCTGTGACGTTGCACGTCTTCCCCCTCCCCTCTGCGCCTCTAATCCCTTCCCTTTGCGCCTCTAAACCCTCTATCTAAGCACAGCCCAGTGCTCACCGCTTGTCCTGGTCCCAGATGGAGCAAGGGACGCTCCTCATGGGCGCCACGAGGTCCTGTGGGTGAGGGAGTAGCCGAGAGCGAAAGAGTGAGGGGGAATACAGAGGGTGCGGGCAGGTTAGGGACGGGGGGGCGTTGGGGGGTTGCTGCGCTGCCAGATGGAGCAAGGGACGCTCCTCCTCATGGGCGCCACGAGATCCTGTGGTTGGGGGAGCCGAAAACAAACGAGAGCGGATATGGCGTGGACAGGGAAGGGAAGGAAGCTGCGGGCTCGTCGTGCGTGCTCCTAGATGGAGCAAGTGACGCTCCTCATGGGCGCGAGTAGGAGGGGACAGGGCGTGTGCACTGATAGAAGGGGTTAGGAGGGGGATGATGATGGTGACGGTGTGGCGGGGACAGGAAGGAGGGTGGAAGGAAGGGAGAAGGAAAGGAAAAGAGGGGATGGGGGTGGAGGCGAGGGGAGGGGAGTGACAGAGGGGCTAGGAAGACAAATGATATTCCTTGCAGCAGCCGATACAACAAAGAAGCTGTTGATTTAAAAGAAAAGGACTGGTGTGGAATAGCTTGGCACAGTGGCTACAGGATACAAGAGCACCTGGAGGCAAGAGCATGCCTATAACATGCCAGTTCGATCCTGCTTTTTGCTTGAGAAAAACCGTTCGAATACCGAAAACCGTTCCAAAACGAAATTATTGTTTACAGGCTTGAACACAGAGACATCTCACTGAAGACAGAAAGAATGGTGCGTGAAGCAATACCTTTTGAGGCACCTCAAAAGCAGCACCTGGTGGAAGACAAAGGATGCAGCCACTCGGCCGTTGGAGGATGGCAGCAGGCGGATCCTTCGACACTGCTGCTGCTGCTGCTGCTGCTGCTGCTGCTGCTGCTGCTGCTGCTGCTGCTGCTGCTGCTGCTGCTGCTGCTGCTGCTGCTGCTGCTGCTGCTGCTGCTGCTGCTGCTGCTGCTGCTGCTGCTGCTGCTGCTGCTGCTGCTGCTGCTGCTGCTGCTGCTGCTGCTGCTGCTGGTTCTGTTGCTGATGTTGCTGAGGTTGCTGCTGCTGTTGCTGAGGTTGTTGTTGCTGCTGCTGCTGGTTCTGTTGCTGATGTCGCTGCTGTATATTCTGAATCTGCTGCTGCTGCTGCATCAACTGCCGCTTCGTCTGTTCCCCCCCCATCTGATTATCCTCCATCAGTGGCTGTTCTTCATGCCGTGAAAGCCGCGGCCGTAGCTGGTCAGAAGACGGCACTACCGGCGATGATGGAAGCACGGAGGGAAGAGCACTCAGGCTGGAATCGGAACCAGTGCTGCCGCTGCAGATGCCTACCCCACCACTGTCACGCATGTCCCCCTCCCTGGCTAGCGTGTCTCTCGCTCCACCTGTTGCAACAAACGCACAAACACCCTCCTCTCCACCTGCTGCTATGAATCCACTCCCTGGCAAGTCACCAGAGGTGCCACTGCGATCACCACACGTGGCAAGGGGAGGCATAGCGTCTGTGCTGCCACCACCAGCAGCACCGCTGGCATGTATGCTGCTGGGATGCGAATTGTTCCCGTTCATGCAGCTCGCATCTCCTCGCAGCCGCTTTCTTGCATGTTCCTCCTCGTCCTTGTCCGCCTCCCCCTCTATACTGCCCCAAGCAGTCTGTGACAGTAACGAGGGAGGATCGGCAACTATCTGCATGGATAAAAGACAAGAGTGCAGGGCCACACAGGATAGTAGGAGAGGATTACTAAACATCTAGAAAAATCTGCTCACAACGGGAAATCATGATACATTGGCATGCAAGCACATTGAGATGAAACTGGCTGACACACACATGCGGTTGCTTTTCCTTGTAAGCCACACTAGCCAGGCGGCAGCACCAGCATCACCAATCTGCACGGCAAGCAATGAAAGCACCCAGCAGCAATGTGCAACAGCAACTGAGCAGTGTTACCGAGTGCGCATGGTTACCGCAATGCACCTGAATAGGAACGTCAGTGATGCATGCGAGCGCTGCAACCACCTCATCCGCCATGTGGAATGGGTACTTCCACTGCCTGCAGAGGACGACGAGGAAGAGAAGAAGAAGAGGGAATAACGAAAAACGTTTCCCTTAAAGAGCCGCTTAAGTCGCTGCAACCACCTCATCCGCCATGTGGAATGGGTACTTCCACTGCCTGCATGACATGCCAAGGAAGAGGCGAAGAGGAGGGAATAACGAGAAAGATTTCCCTTAAAGCGCCTCTTATGTCACTGCAACCACCTCATCCGCCATGTGGAATGGGTACTTCCACTGCCTGCAAGGCAATCCATCCAAGGAAGAGAGGCGAAGCAGGGACAGGGACACTGCTTCTTAAATAGGCCTAGTAAGTAGCTGCAAGCAACCACCTCATCTGTGTGAGAAGGGTACTTCCGCTGCCTGCGTGGGAAGACACGGAAGGGAAGGGAGAGAACAGCGTTGGACATTCCATTTCATGACGAGCATGCGGTGACAAAGTACTCATGTCTGTACATGCATGATGCCCAATTCGCACATGCATCAGATCATCACATGCCCAATCCAATCATGCATACGCACGAGCGCTGCTGACAAACTCGACTAAAGCACGCACCTGCCCAGCACGACAAGCATGCGGCGACAAAGTACTCGTGTCTGTACGCGCATGATGCATCAGATAATCACCTGCCCAATCATGCATCCTCCTCAGACAATCAGAGACCATCCCGTCTGTCCTCAACGCACATGCATGACGAGCGCTGCCGACCAACACGAATCACTTAACCACACACCTGCTCGCTCCCATCTCCCTTCAACTTCTGCCGCCTCCCAAATATCCCACCCACCCATGCCGACCATCTATTTCACTCACCGGCTCCCCTCTACATAGCCCACCCACCTGGTCACACTGTTCTAAAGGCGCCCTGGAATGGACTAGCACACCTCTTTCACCGCCTTTTGGGGCGCCGCAGAAATCACCATCTTTCCCCTCTCACCCACCCACCTTGCCCGTCCACCTCATCTCACCTCACCTTCTCCCTTCCCCACACACCCACCCACCTGGACACTCTATCCCAGACGCGCCCTGAAACGGACTTGCACACATCCTTCACCACCTGGGTGGTGGGAGAAAAATCACCTGCTCCCCTCACCATAACCACCCACCTGTTCCCCTCTCCACCCACCTATCTGTTCTGCTCTGCTCTCACCCACCTGGACACTCTATCATAGAAGCGCCCTGGAATGGACTTGCACACGTCCTTCACCACCTGCGCAACACACGGGCATCAAGGAGAGGAATCCTTTTCTTTTTTTTCAATGGTGACTTTTGAGGTAAATATTGAGTCGGATTCAAAAGCCAAATCGCGCTGGAATGGACTTGCACACGCCCTTCACCACCTGCGCAACGCAGGAGCGGTGGTTAGAGGAAAAGCAGAGGCGAGGGGTGCAGCAAGGGGAGAATGAGTGGGAACACACAGGAAGAGCACAGCCGTGCTCAGTCATCGCAGCAGGAAGGCTGGGGCCCTCTTGCACCTTCACATGCTGTGCACAGCACAGAAAAGCAGTAAGCAGCATCAATTACTGCCACAGGACTACACTTCAAACATCGTGGATATTGCAAGCGCCTAAAAACACGGCATGCAGTCAGTACAGTATGCGCACTCACTGTCGTGATTACACACAGGCATCAATCACCTGATTATAACGCACCAGCTTCACTCACCAAGCCAATGCTCGAACAAGCAAGCACCTCGGTCGCTCGCATAGTTACGAGGCACCAGCATTCACTGTCACCTCGTTATAAGCCACTAGCTTCACTCACCTCGTTATAAGGCACCAGCTTCACAGCCAACAGTCCATCCGCGGCCCTCGTTATTACCACCTGCACCTGCTCCGGTGCTTGACCCAACTCCAGAGAAACCTTCTCAGCAGCTTCCATGCCAGCGAGCTCCTGGGATGGTGCCTGTGGAGTGCTGCTGCGCTGGCTGCAGGGCTGCAGTGTGTAGCCCGGTGAATGCGGCACGTGGGACGGCGGATTTGGCATGTTCGATTTCGGATTTGGGATGTGGGGTGACACTTTGATGCTGCCTCCTGGAACAGCAGATGGAAATTCAGCAGGTGCCTCGACCTGAGAAGAAGGGGGTGGAAGGAGCAGACATCGGGTAAGAGCACTGGCACTTCACAACATGGCAGAGAAACCTTCTCAGTAGCTTCCATGCCAGAGGGCTGCTGGGAGGATGCCTGCGGCGTGCTGCAGCAGTCGCTGCAGGGCTGCAGTGTGTAGCCCAGTGAGTGCGGCGCGTGGGACGGCGGAGTTGGCATGTTCGATCTCAAATTTGGTATGTGGGATGGGGCATCAGTGCCGCCCACTGGCATGTCACATGGAAGTGCGGCATGGCTGACTGCTGTGGTAACAGAGCCATAGCCTCCACCTGAGAAGACGGGTGTGGACGAAGGGGCACAGTGGCATGCCACATGGCAGTGCGGCAAGTGGTGAGTGCGGCAACGGAGTCACTGCCTCCACCTGAGCAAGTAAGATGGGGTGGAAGCAGCAAGGAGCAAGGAAGAAGGCGGTGGGTTTAAGAATAGCTTGATTGGAAAGTCAAAATGGATTGGACGGCACATTGAGATGACGTTCCCACAGTTTCCCGACACTGAAGTTTGCCCACCAGGCTCAAAAATTGTCGGGATGGTGGTCAGAGTGGGGTACTGCCCCACTCTGGACACCGCGTCCTTGCGAGCCGTTACGACCAGATTGCGACCTTCTACGTAAAAATTCTAGTCGCACCCAATAGGCCTTCACATCTGACAATCGGATGGACTCAATGACTCGGTTGGAATTTCTGACTCCCGCGTAAAACGGTGCCCGAAAATCGAAGACCAAAAATTCTGAGGTGCACTGAACCGTTTTTGCTATTGAATGGCGTTGACCCTGGAAACCGGGCAGCTGAACTTCGGGCAATGACAAAGAAACGTGGGTTGGGTCGTAGCCCATTTTGGTAGGCGTCGTGGGCCGTCAGATGAGATCGTATACGGCCGTGGATGAACACTTGCACGACCAATTTGGTGGGAATCTTGGAGGTCGAACTTCGAGCCGCATGTTGGCAAATTTCTCGAAATTGGCCAAATTGCGAGATGCCTGGGCAAACTTTCTTGTCGGGAAACTGTGGGAACGCCCTCTGATACTGCACAGCACACTGGCATGGCACATGGTAGTGAGGAGGCATGTGTTGAGTGCGGCAACAGGGTCACTGCCTCCGCCTGAGATGATGGGAGGGAAGGAACACGGAGGAGGAGCAAAAAGACAATGTGCAAGCGGAACTCAGAAAACACTAGCACTCACATGCACATGGGGTAGGGCCCTTAGGGCTCGTTCCACGTCAGCAGCTACAGCGATGGGGAAGGTCCAGACTCGGTCTCTCTTATCCCACCGTCGGTCAGCCACCGACTGGCACAGCTGCTTGACTTCCTGTTGATGAGCGTAGGGGCATGGGTGGGGAGGGAGTGAGCATGCGGGGGGGAGGTTCTTGAGTCGACTCAAAGCTCGTTCCACGTCAGCAGCCACGGCGATAGGGAAGGTCCAGACTCGGTTGTGCTTATCCCACCGCCGGTTAGGCAGCGACTAGCACAGCTGCTTGACTTCCTGTTGGTGAGCGTGAGGGAGGGGGATGGTAAACTTTTGTGGTCCCCCAAAAAGCAGCGATTGACACGGCTGTGTCACTTCCTGACCATGGAGATGAGCGTGAGGGGAGGGGGTTGGAAGACAGTATTGGTGCCTCAAAAAGCAGCAACCGACACGGCTGTGGCACTTCCTGACCATCGAGATGAGCGTGAGGTGAGAGCATGGGTGGGGAGGGAGTGAGTGATTATGTTGGGGGAAGAAACAAGCAAGTGGGAGGAAGTGGGCTTGTGGGGATACTGGCTCCTTAGAAGCCCCGAAAACGCATGCGATCACTCAGTGCTGCAATGGCCACCCACAGGGCAACAGTCATGACGCGTGGAGACCCGTGCAATGCATTCACTTCACTTGACTCAGTGCTGCAGATGCACGATGACTACCACAAGGTGACTTCTGAGTCGACTCAAAAGTCACATCACTTCACTTGACTCAGTGCTGCAGATGCACGATGACTACCACAAGAACTGATCGATATAATGGACCGCATCATAATATAACGCATCATGACGGAACGCATCATGATGGAACGCATCATGATGGAACGCATCATGATGGAACGCATCATGATGGAATGCATCATAATGGAATGCATCATGATGGAATGCATCAACAACAAGCAACAGCACGCATTGAACCTTTGGTACCTACCTGGTGTTCAATCCCGCTGGACCCATATGAAGACGCTTTTGGTCACGAAGACATCAACAATCCAGAACGCAACAGCAAGTTTTTGAACCCATGTCACCTAACTGGTGTTCGGTGTACTCAACTTTGGGCACCTTTGGAGTACAAATGTATCAGCAACCCACAGAAAGCAACAACACGTAATGAAGTTACGACACCTAACTGGTGTTCGATGAGATTTGATTGGGAAACGGATGGATACAACAACCGGGATAGCAACACCTGGTGCTTCTGTCCTGTATCTGGAGTCCCGTCTATTGTGTACCTCGTTATAAGGGATCGTCTTTGCCGCGACGCGGTCATCCTGCAGGCTCAGAATCACGCGCGTGGTGCACC